AGGCCTATCCTATGTTGATTTATGCATAGGAAGAAACTTGATCACTGAAGTAAAACCACTACCAAGAAAAGTAGCAATATTTTGTCAGGTTGGTGTTTTAGTTCTACATTTAATGACTTGTCTTTTTCCAAGCTAGTTTTACCTTTAAAAGCCTTTAAGGCGTCACACATGAACTATGTATGCTGGACTGCACTAAGGATGCAATTCATCTCGTCCAATCACGCTCCACAAAAGAGCCTTTATAAAGCAGCAAGAAACTGAGATTTTATTCATACAAACTCACAAAACTTCACCACCATTAGGTTCATTAAGTATACAAGGCTATCAGGATAAAATAACCAACATTTGTTGTTAGAAAACTTACCAAATTTGAAAAGATTCTTAGAAATGTTTCATTAATTTATTATTGGGCCTCTGCTTTAGTTTAGAGTTAGGTAGGAAACAATTCACCTTTCAGTGCAAATTCCAACTGCTTATATTAACTGGAGCTTTTGAGCACAATGCCATGAGAAGACGGGATCAAAATATTGTTCTATTCACTTAAACAGGCAAGAAGTGCAAAAATCTAGTCCTGAATTACTAAAGTTTGAGAAACCTAACTGGTAGTCTTGTTTCAAACATGTCTAATGCTTAACTTGCAAGTGAACATAGAAGGGACATGAAGGATAAGATATGCCTCAATAGGGCTCCAAACAGTAAGAAATTGAAAAGTGCATTTACGTACTGCTCCAAAGGACTGAACTCTGAGAACAAAAACTAGGTTGCAATGGCATTCCTGAAGCTATAAACTTCATTGCTGTTTTGCAATGTGCTTTTTTTATTTTCTTGCTCTCATCTGTCTTACAGCTTTTGATCCAAGTCCACTACAATCCCTGCTGTTTAGCAGCTGACACTGCTTTAGTGGCTGACTCTTTATACTGATAATTACTCAACATACTTGAGAGCAGTGCTTCTGCAAGAAGAACTAAAGGAAAGTAAAACAACATCTAGAAATAATTCCTGAAAAGACTATGAGATTAAAAAGAGAAGTATTTAATATACAAAGTCTTATACGAAAGAACAGCAAGCATTCATAAATTGAAACTGATTAATTCTCAAGAAACAGTCCCTTACATATTCAAAAAGGGGTTTTTCTTGGAGGGAAGTGGGAAAGGATGTCCAAAAATCTCAATTCCCTCTTTAAACTATCAGTAAGAAGAGCTGCAAGTTTTAGGCTGGTATTGCAGCTACTGTTTCATTAAGTATAATACCCATCCAACACTATTTCACAGTGTTACTACAAAGTAAATTCATGCACACAGAACTAGGACTACAACTCCTACATATTTTGGTCTCTGTTTTAGACACGTAGAAACTATTTCAATACACTAAATCCAAACCTCTAAGTTGGTGACGCGAATAAAAGCAGGTCTTGGAACTGGAATTATTTTGTAAAATGGCTCTGACTGAGATACAACAGTGTAAATCCAAGCAAGGCACCCATAACTGGATAATAACCATTGCATGTTTGAGTAATTAATGCATTACTGCACTCAGAATTATTTTCATTTTAAAAAGTATTTGTGCTGTTGCAAAATAAATCGCCATCAGCAAATTCCTCTTTCAGTCAGAAGAATGTATGCAAAATAAAATTAGCAAAATACTACTGGAAAACTAGTTTCTCAATTAAGCTTCTCTGAAATCAGAATGCATATAAATTGAGCACATTTCAACTAATTGACTTTTATAAAAGAAGGGAAAAACCCCAACCAATATGCAAGTGTTTATTAATAATTTATCTAGTAGAGATCACATCTAGATTAATAAATTGTTTAGGCATCATCGGGCTGCCCATAAATTAATAATCAATGCAGTCAAAATTCTAATGTTCATCATCACCAGCAACAAGAATGCTTCAGGAAAAGAAATCCTCTCACAGAAAATATTTTTATCATCTCCAAAAAAATCAAGTAATTGCCAGCTGCATTAAACTCGATTACAAGATATTTTTCAAATGTAGTTGCATTTTTTAAAAATCCAAGTTTAATGAGTTAGGAAAAGACATAGACAGAAACTTTCAACGGGAAAGACTAATACTGCAGCCTTAGATGAGAGGGTCCAGTTCTGGTTGCCATTGCACTTACCATTTATCTTCCTGTCTCAGACTAATCAGTAAAAAGTGATAGGATATAAGTGAAGGAAGCTTACTTTTCAAAGCTTTTAAGAAACAAAAACAAGGATTAGAAACAATTGTTATTGTCCTACTAAATACATTGTTGACAGAAAACTTTAGTATGTTGTAAGTGTAAGGCCTGAAGAGTTTATCAAGACTTGCTGTGGTAAAAAAACTATCCAACAGTATTAAAAAATGCAATTCTCACCAAGAGTCAACTTTTAACCTCTGAAAATAGAGAATAACTTTCTCAGTACATGTACAGCAATAATCTGAGAGCAGGAGTAAGTGCTAGGTGGAATCTGTTCACAGTAAACAAGTATTAGCAAGAACAAATAAAAACAAATTGGTTGTACAAGAAAGTCTAAGCTGAAATCAGATTTCATGCATCATTTTGCAAGCTCCAGAAAAGGTTTACAGTTTTTCTCTGCCACAAAATGCAAAGGCTTTTTCAATTTCCATTCACACTACATAACTACAGTTATCCAAGAACACTTTATAACAAGCATCTATAAAATGATAGGCATGCTTAGTCACACAGCTGCCCTGATTAGAAACTGTTGCTAAAGAAAGTAAACACATCACTTGCCATTTTGTTTCAATTTTTCCACTCAAAGTTTAAAGAGCATTAAAAGTAAAACCTAAGTCAAGGCACAACCAGAATACTAAAGACTAGTCTAAAGAATATATTTTTTCATCTGCTATTGTATACGCCACTTCAATTTTATATGATGTACTCTATACTCCTTTATATATATACGTTAAAATGCTTTTGGAAGGGCTGTTACTGCAAAACTACATCTATATATTCTTGCAGAGTATTAATTAGGTCCAGATGAACACACAATTTCAGTAGGGCATGAGAGTGGGAAAGCTACACTCTTCTAAAGCAGTCTTCCACCTTTTACCTTTCCTCTCCAAAAAATATGATGTATAAAAGTCATTAAAATTATGCATAGTGATTGAAGTGCTTTCCATTTGAACCACTATCCTACATTTTTGCCAAGTCCAGCATAGCAACTTTAACAGCTGCTATTCATATAGGTTTTGGAATTTAAAAATGTAGATAAGCAACAAGGATGGACAAACTGTGGTAAGCAATTTAAGCACAGAGACTAAATACTATTATCTCAAGACAGATATAAGAATAAACCATTATCTCGTTTTCTCCCCTCCAAGCTGCAGAATACAGGCCACAACCTCCTAACAACAATGGAATCTGAGGGAGCTACTGCCATCCCAGGGCTGCGGGTTGGCTCCCCAGCTTCCTATTACTGCAGCTCTCTGCAGCAAGAAGCATGGGTCTCACAGAGGAGCCAGGAGGTTTTGACAAGTAGCTTACAGGGTCAGAAAGTCAGGCAACCTCAAAAGATGCCTCGTTAAGATATTACAGTGATACGAAATTTCACATTTGGCATCAGTAAGTACTATTTCTAAAGTCATCAGTAAGTACTATTTCTAAATTACATCAGACAACTGTTATATGCTATTTCTCCACTTCTTTTTAAAAATTTTTGGAACATACTAAAGGACAGTATAAGTTCTGAATTCTTGGTCTTCATTACTCTGAAGAAAAGACATGCTGAATGCAGTTTTCTTTTAGAGTGAGAACATACGGAAATAAGTTACCATCTGCTTTTGGATGCAAGTACCTCAAAACACAGTGAGCAAAAACAAATTATACCTGTTAGTAAAATCAAAGGAATTATTTTGCTTCCTCCCTATCTTTATTAAAAATACTAACAGGCAAAGACGAGGGGAAAAATGTCCTGCTGAGAACAGGACATCATTCATTTTCTAACATCTCTCAGGATATCTCTGAACATACATAATAAATTCTTCACAACCCTAAGAAAACTTCATTGTATAGAATGTAAATCAAGTTTTTCTTTCACAGGAAGTAGCTGAGAAACCAGCAGTGCATTATTGATTGATGTATGAAGTTGCACCTGTGAAGGGGAGCAAGATCCCCTCCTGTAGACTACAGTTGTTTTAATAATATAAAAGAGCATTGTGTGAATTGCTTATTCATTATTTCTTCATTAGGAATAGCTGTAATAGTAAAAGGCATCCTACTCAAGAGAAACTAAAGCATTTGCAACACAGTTTGGATTCACTGAACTGATCTGGCTGGTAGAAGAAAGTCATACTCTTTGACCAAAAAAACTGAGAAGCTGACTCCTTTGAGAGCAGAATTTTGCTAGTCCTACAGGATGAGTCTTCAGAGGCAGAGCATATCTAAATTACTAATATAAATAATGTACAGATTATAGCAGAGGACAAATTTTCCCACAGCTTTATAATCTTTCAGTCTCCTTTAGTAATGATTTGGATGTTGTCCTCATCTAGTTTTACACAGGGTTGAAGGGGAGAGTGATTTTAAGCTCTATATGAAACTAACATTGCCCTTTTTGTTTCTGAAATCTTTCCTAGTAAGTTAACCATAAAACAAAAACCAAATAATTCAAAGAAGCTTAGCAGCATGAACTGGTTTAAAATTCAAACCTTCAGGCAGAGTGGGGCGCCAGGATGGGTGATTCCTATCACCTCTCATTCTAGAAAAATTATTTTACTGAAACATTTCAATTCCCAAGTAAAAAAAAATTAGTATCTGAACACCTTCACTTAATGGATGTGTTACATCACCAGCTTGTAGGAAAAATAACAGTGATGTCATCATACAAAAGAGTAACTGTACTACTGAATATGAGCAATTCACCAACAAGAACAATAAAATACTGAAGTGGAAACAGCCAACAAGAAGATGGCAGTTCAATAACTAATATAAAAATAATATAATGAAAAAATTATTTTGCAATTTGGACTTTCACCATAGAATTGTACTTACATTATCCATGAAATTTGGCTTAAATCCTCCTTCCTGCTGTCGTCGCAATTCCTCCTGCTCCCTCTGGCGTAGCATCTCTTCTTCACGACGTCTGTGCTCTTCTTCATGTCTAAGATATTTTTCAAAATTATGTCAGCTTAGTCTCTTGACCCGCTCAGATTGCACTCAGTCTCAGAGGTTAAGATCAAGCATATAAACAAAACTGGTCATTAATTATTTTTTACATAGTGTAAGGCACTAATCTACTCAACTTGATGACTTTGAGTACTTAAAGTTTTGTGTTCTTTTTTTACTGGAATACTGCAATACAAGTAATTTCAATACCAATAGATTCTATACCTACCCTTCCAGCTACATATCAGTAAATAGGTTAAAATATTCCAGTTTTTAAGAAGTCATTATGGGTTAAAATATTTCAACAGTGCCAAAAGACATTTTTAATTCTGAGAGTGCTGTTCTTTTTATCTTATTGACATTATTATATTTAACACAAAAAGTATAAATCAATATGATGAGACTACGTCTATTTTCTTAAACTTTAGAAGAGGCATTAAAACAATTATATACATTAATCAAATCCTAAAAGAAAAATTGTTTTCAACATACTAGAATATCAAGTGAAAATAACTTCCACAATCCCACATCAGACTATACAATTGCAATGCTACGATTCTATATTCAGATCACCTGCCTATAAAATTTAGAAGCATGTTCCTATCTATTACAGCAATTCTTCGGTCATGTTAAAATAAATATCAAACAAAAAATAGGCTAAGACATTTCTATGCTATTCAGAAATCTCAGAAATTTACAACAAAACTAGCAGAGCTGGAGTAAGTGACAAAAATCAATTGCTTGAAAACAATCTTATATTAGCATTATATTATCAGAAACATCACACACTATGCTTTTGAGAAGCAATTTTAGCTAATATATCTAAATTCACCCAGGCCTACAGTGGCTGCATGCCACGCCTCTGCACAGCATAAGACAAAGTACCTCAATTGTATCTGCTTGCGTTTTTGAAGTTCTTGGTTTCGAAGTTCTTCCAAGCGCCTCAATTCCTCTTGACGACGCATGAGATCTAACAGAATTAAAAGTGTATTTAAATATAAAAGCTTTCAATCAATAATGTGGCAACACAAGAACTGTTATTACTGTCAGTTATAACATTCAATTTTTAAAAAATTTTCAATGAATTTAATTCATTTCTTTCCATAAAGCTAAGTCTAGTACTTGAAAAAACACTGGATCCGTGGCTTACAAACACAGAAAGGTACAAAATGGGTAAAGCCCTCAGAGCAGGTTACAGAAACAGAAGTTCTCAAAGAAAAGGAAGAAAATCTCTCTCAATCCCTTAAATCATATCCTGGTTTTACATCTAGGACAGGGCATCGATTTTCTCACAATGCTGTATACTGCTAAAGTCACCCTACTAAGGAAACCACAATATTAATGGACGTTTATGCTCTCCACTACCTACTGCAGACCCCTACATGGCACACATCAGAAAAAGAAAAGTCAGGTGCATGAGTCTGAACCTCCATGAAGATCTGTCACGACTCTACTTACTGCAACTTAAAAATTACTAGTCTTTTAATCCCACAAAAAAGACACAGCCATAGCCTCCTAAGAAGCACCTAAAAAGCCCTTAAAAAGCAGGGCATATCTCACAGTAATAACTTTTGTTGACCATCACATTATTGATTTCTGCCTGAAAATTTATGCTTTCTTCAATGAATAATAATTTCACCATTTGTTAGAAAGCAGCTTTTTTTATTTTTAACTACAGAGGATATTGGCCACATGCTACTATTTAGAGAAACCAAAAGTAACATTTTGCCATACCAGCCATTACACGCCTTTTATGCTTTAGTTCAACTGTGCTGCACATTTTCTCTATGCATTTCTTCACTATACTAATTAAAACATATTTTTCGTTATGCAAATCAGTTTCCTCAAACTTGCATCAGCATAAACTATTACAATTTCAAATTTTACTTTAATATCCAAAAACTACAACAGCCAGTACATTCTGCCAAAACATAATGTATTCATTTTCTTTTTGAACAAAGACGATTATCAGATATTTACTCTCACAACATCTGTTGACATTAGAAGTCCTTTTTCAAGCACATTTCACAAGACTGCTTTTCCATTCTCTTCTGCAAAATCAACACATTTCACACTTAAACAGAATAGGACTACATTGAAGATTCACTCAAATCACAAAGTCCGAGGACTGCTTTCTTCCAGCTATGCTTGCCATAGAAGGCCTGGCCACTGACATCCTGATTGTTGGGCAGTGTCACAAGCATGCTTTATTTTTCCTTTTAAATAACCTAAAGGTTTTTTCAGAGTACAAGTGTACTCTTCTCTTAAAATGAAACTTTAGCCTGCTTCACGGTATTACTGAGATCAAAAACCAACCCATTCTGTACGCAACACTATCTACTGTGTGAAAAGATGTTTTCTTTTTAGTTCCTTGTTCTTTCAAATTTTAACAGCATTCCCTAGTCCTTGGGCACACAGGCACAGGATTTTCTACTTTCTCTCTACCACCATCATTTACTGTCCTTTGTTCTTAAGGTATAACGCTCTACTTTTCTCAGTGTTCTCCTAATTCTTATCCATAGCATAGTTTATTGCCTTTCCTGAAATTGTCAGTATGTTGAAAGTGCAACATAGCAAATTACGATTCAATATCATTTGACAACTGCATTTGACAACTGCCAAATCTTGGCAGAAAGCCTTACTAGGGCGGGTGAAAACATACGATATAGAGATTCAAACTCTGCATAAGACCCATCCATATTAAAAGACCTGTAATGACGGCAATTTTTGATTGACAGGATTTTGATTTCTCAGAACAGAAAAAATCTGCATTAAAGCACTTGTGGAAAAAAAGAAAACAGAGAGCGTTATTATTACCCTCTGTACTTTCTTGCCTTATAAAAGGACAAGGTCTTCATTTTACCTTCAATCTTCTACATAGCAGAGAGCAGAAGGTGAAAGTGTTCTCTCACCTCAGAAGTTAATCCTACAAGCTGGAATATTAACTCCACAAAGACTTTTAGGCAATTTTAGCTGCTGATTTTTCAGATTCTAAAGATGGAAAATAAATGCCAAGCTTCCATATAATTAGTTTAAAAATTAAGCTTCCGGTTAAGTTCAGTCACGTTTTCCACTATCTTCATAATCTATTTAACCATCATTATGAGAGAATATTTACAAATGTTTGATGCATACCACCAGTACATAGATCAAAAATACCATGCAATTTACTTACACATAGAAACACGTATTCTGCTTACAAATTACTTCTGACTCAGTCTGTCAAAATATGACACTTCAAAGTGAAAAATTACACATATCAAAAGAATTAAATCTACTTCAAGAATTAATATCATACCACAAAAACCTGAGTACTCAGATCAACACATTCTAGAGTTCCAGTCCTACTAGCTCTTGTGGAGCAGTTTCAACAGAACCTTCATCTGCTAGAGTATATGGACCAGTAAGCTCGTCCTTCTTGTCTTAATTTTAACTCCTACACAACTAAAACATGACATTTTATATTTTCTTTCATATTTCATAATGACTACTTCAATACATCTTTAAATTAGACTTTGTGCACCATGGATATGAAAGTATTAATTCTAGGTTCTGGTGCCTTAGAAACTTCATTGCACCTTTCTACAAAATCCTGTGATGCAATCTCATTAATATAATCAATAGTCCTGGCATGGCATGAACTTATACCACACTGTTCAGAGCAACAAGAGGAAGCTAATCTTTGAAAATAAATACAAGTGAAAAATCACCTTATTTTCATGCATACTGAAGCTGAAGAATTGAAAAGATTAAAAAGATGGAATACTTATTAATCCGTACAGCTCTGAAAATTAAATGTCACCAGGTAACTAAGAAGAAATCTATCTTAACAAAATTCTAAGTTACCTGGTACGAAAGAGGTACTCTGCTAACCAAACTGTGAAGAGGAAAAGCCCTGCCCTACACAAAAAAAACCCCACATTTTCTCACTGGAATAGCAGGACCACATGCATTCATGTTTTAGTGGATCTTTAATGGAAGGAATACGTCTCTCTTTTTTCATATAAAACTGGCATTTAACAAATATTCAAAAAGCAGAATATCTTTTCCTTCATATTGCCCTTAAAAGAAACCTAATACCCAAAAACATACCAAAGATCTTTGCCCATGTTTTACCATCAAGTGTTTTTCTATCTTAATGAAGAGACCACTGTCATCTTGTCTCAGTTTAACATGTAATTAAGACATGTATTTAAGACAAAGTAATCTCTAATCTTGCCGTCAAGCCCAGGCAACAGGTGAATAAATTCAAAGGAAACAGAAGAGCATGAGTTCTGGAACTGACTATTAGCACTGTTAAATATTAACAATTAGGTAAGTCAACAGTAGATTTATCCAACCTGTATCTTAAGCACTGAACCATCTTCACAAATTTCAGTCACGCATACACAGAAAATTACAATGTGTGTCTAGCTGCCAAGGGAGGGCTGCACTGTGTATTGTAGGCAGGATTCTTGGATCATATTAACATGGACATTCCTCACCTCTAATATGCACCTGTGCTTACAGGGAAACATAATGCTTCAACCATTTTTCTTGGAAAATAAACCAAGAAACAGTTGCCATTTCAGGTGCTGCACCAACTATTTGGCATTTCAAAACAGTTTTCTATGTTATTATACTCTGTATAAGACCTTATGCTTTTTATGTTATTATATAGTTATGTTTTTATGTAACTGTCTTCTGCATAAGACCTTATGCTTTGTACAAGACCTTGTAAAAACAGCAAGGCTCCACACTGGGAGCACATGCGCCTATTCAGGAAAAACAGGCTAAGTAAATTTTTTCCTAAAGATAAATTTAGGAAGTGAAGAAAACAGACTTAGAAATCACCTCTCTATCAGATACTTAATTTCTGCAAATCATCAAGGAATATGTGCACAGAGAAGTATTCCTTCCTTCTTCTCAGCTAAATGCAATTAATTAATTGGTAACCAGCAAAATGTCCAAGTATACATCTCAATATGCTACACCAATAAAAAAATAACCTCTGACAAAACAAATTTAATACTAGTAGATTATCTGGTTTTACCTTGCCTCATCAGCATTAGCTGATGCTCATGTCTAGCTGCTTCCATTTCTGCCTCAAGTTTCTCTTTGGCTTCTCTAATGTTCCTGTCAACCTGTTCACGCTGCTGCTTTTCCATCTCATCAAGAGCCTTCCACCGTGAAGCATACTCAAACTCAAATGTTCCAGGCTGAGCAAAGCGTGGTGGCTGTTCTCTCTCCCTAATAAAAATTTTGCAGTAAAAATGTACAGAAGGACACATTTAGATCAACAGCTGTAACAGCCAGAGAATGTAGAAACAATCACTTCAAGTGTAGATCTCACTTTTTATCAAGACGTCAGATGACTACATTCTAAACCAGGTAAAGCTTAAATCAGACTTTAAGACAAGTAAAAAGACAATTTTCCAAAAATTGCCCAAATAAAGATTAAATTTATTTAATTTTAAGATAAAAATTTGTATTGACATCAGTACAAAATACTAAGCTGCAACACTAGATTAACTGTGTTTGGCCTTCTAAATCAAGCAGTCAGTTCACTAAACCAGTTATTTAAACCAGTTAATTCAGTTATTTAAATATCAATGCTTACTAGACAGCCCAGAATATTAACCAGAATCTGTAACCATTAAAATGAGCCCCCATTTCCGAGTCTAATATTAATATTGTACCTAACGGTGACAAATTTTGAAGACGTGGTGCTCTACCGTCTTACCAAAATAAACATTTTCGATTCAAGCAACATGAGTGGCAAATTACAATATTAAATATTAGTATTTTCAGATTAGGAGACTTGTATCTCATGATTGAGATTCACTTTCTCATGTCATGCTCAATGTTTTACCTAAACTATGAAAGCTGCAAAGATTTACAAGCCAGGGAGTCTGCTAATAGCTACAGGGCTATTCAGAGAACTTAAAGATCTGTGGGTATTCAAAATTTCTGCAGGATTAGACCACTCCCCTAATCCATAAGAGACTACAGTTTGCTGGCAACAAGCCCCTACTGACTGCAGTGTGGGCCAAGAATCTCTCTACTATAGTAAATGCACAGAATGTTAAACCAACGAGCCAAGTCTGAATTTTACTATGATTAGGACATTTGGGAAGGTCCTGTTTAATCCTTTGACATAAAACAGCACAACATACAAAAGCACTACTACTTCCTGCTACACAAACTCAAAAGTAAAAATTCGTATATATTTACAAAAGTAACTAAGTACATAAATCATGTTTTATAAAAAAAGGCTAACCACAACTTACTTGTGGTACTGTTGTGTTTTTTGCATTAGCTTCTCAGGGAGTCCATCCTCATCATCAAATTGCTCCATTGGTTCTACAACAACAGGTCGAGGTGTTCTGGAAAACATTTTCAATTTAATAACTAGATTATTGAAGTAGTTACAATTTATTTTAGCATTTTTGGAGAAATGCTCCAGAAAGCTAACGAGTAATTCCTATGTCTTGTCTTAAATCACAGAATTCCAACGAATCCAAATTTGAAGAACTAGCTTTGGAAAATAATTGTTTCTATACCCAAATCCAGTTATTCTGACTAGGAACCACAACTTACTTTACACAGTCCTGGTTGAATTTTAAAATACCAAAACCATCTACCAGTAACTACAAAATAGTTAGGAAGGAACTACCTTTCTGTTTTTATCAGTTAGACACCACAGAAGCCATGATTGTACTGAGAAAACAACAGACCCAAAACAGAGCAGCACAACTGATTCATTTCTACTGACTTTTACTACTTAGTTTTGTAAGTTACTCTACAATTGAAAACAGCTTGATAATTTGGTATTAATATTACAGTGATAATTAGAAAAACATTTCTGTTCAAGTTATTCAAAATCCATTATTTGAAGAACCATACACTCACAAATCAAAATCCTAACTCATCTCTGAAAGCAGCTTCCTTGACATGTAGTAACCTTCCTTAACATGTAGTAAGAGGCAAGCATGAGCCAGTACTATCTAAGAGAGCAGTGTAAAAACTCTGAATTAATTTATTAATCATTTATTCTGTTCCATGCCTTTATTTCACTTTGCAAACTTTCCCCTACTTCCCCAGTCCCTCATTAGGAGAAAAAAAAAAAAACAAAACAAAAAATAAAACAAAACAAACAAAAACACAAACAAAAACTAACCAAAACCAAACCAAACAACCAAAGACTCCCCAATATATTTTACTCTGGGCATCAAGTTCAGATTAAAAAAGATGAAATCTGGAATCACAGGGCACAGATCAGCAACTGTTTTTTCTGATGCCATCTGCAGGGCAATTGCTGACAGTTCTGCTATTTAATTGCAACTGAGCTGTATTACTAACAAGTTATGATGTAAAACAACAATGTTGAAGCGCTAATGTTTTGAATGTCTAGTTTTGATACATTTAAACTGGAACTGAAAGATGTTCTGATCGGACAAAGAATTTTCAGGTAAAAAAGGTAAAACTTTAGGCTCTGAAGCAAAATATCAAAGCAGACGGCAGCAGATTCATACTAATTATCTTCGCAATTGTGCAATAGGGAACAAGGCACCTAAGCAAGAAAACCATCAAGTGCTTTTTATTATGGTTAGATGGTCATTTCAATTACACTGATTTATCCAGCTGGTAAAACAAGAATAACCCTCCCAGCTTCTTCTTCCCTGGCACAGCTCCCATGCCAAGAATAGCACTAATGTAACACTGAACTACATTACTGCCCTTGTTTGGCTCACCACGCTTCCATTCAATTACTAATGCAAAGAAAACCCAGGGAGGAAGAACAAATTGCTGGCACCTCCTTGTAAGAGTAAAGATTGTATTCAGATTAAATTTACTATGTAACCATCAAATCAGTTAACTAGCACACAAGATCTAAAGTTCCAGACGCCTTCGCCACCTGCCAACTCCTCCTGGCAACATCTTCTCCAGCCTTATTCTCTGCTGGACCTGGCATTAGCAAGCACTTTCCTGTGCTTGAACAGACTGCAATGGACTCCCACACAAACGAATGCTTTTCTGCTGTTTTAGCAAGCACAAGTGGCTTATGGAAGTATCATGAAGTTCTCAACAACATCAAAGAACAGCACACCCAGGGCAGGAAAAAAACTCCAAGTCCAATTCAACGGCAGCAAGTTTTCATACTGTGAAACCACAGCCTTATTTTCCCAATGAGAATCAGAAAAATAAAAAAATCATCATAAATGTGTATCATTTCATGCAGTTATTAAGAAAGCAACAACTCTCTTTGGCAGGCACAGAAATATGAGGTGCAAGAAAAGTGCAGCTATTTGCAAGCTTGCTTGTCCCTGAAATGGATTGTTTTCCAAAGGTCACTAGTATAAACCTCTTCAGAATCTCAGTCTTTTTTTTCACACAGCGAGAAAGCCCCGGCCTTACAAGCCACAGATATTTTTTGAGATATAAACACTTTCTTTAGTCTACAGAAATACCAGCAATGTCATGCACTGTTTTGTTAAGAAACATAGGAATATTATTTTGTCACTTTGTTACTGGGATCAGAAGAGTGCAATCAATGAAAATAAAGTCTCAACAGAAAATGCTTTATTATATAGAGAAGGAAAAGTAATGTTGCATATGAACAAGAAAAAACCCAGAATTTTGCTCTCAGACTCTTATATGGTAATAAGAATCCTTATAAACAGTAAGCAGAGAAAGACAGTTTTCTTTAAAAAAAAAAATCAAGAGTATTTGTGATATTCATGAAAACACTTTAATTTCTAACTTCATGGCTTTCAGAATTTGAAAAAAAATAAGAACTAGGGAATACTAAGAATGTAATTTTTGCCCACTTAAGGAAGATATACTCACAAATTCAAACAAAACCTGCGAACTTACGTTGTAAGCAAGAATGCACCATCACTGCATCTTTCTAGAGCTTTCCGTGCTGGAGGTTTTGCTGCAAACTCTACAAAACCTTTCCCTGTAGCTCTGCCGCGATCATCTACTACAACAACCGCTCTCTCCACTGGCCCGAATTGCGAGAATGCTTGTTCCAGCAGCTCATTGGAAACCACAGGCGACAGATTCTTCACAGTTAAGGCAGCTCCATGGGTAGCAAATCGAATTCGAAGAGGTCTGCTCTTCAAAATAGTACCATCAAGTTCTGCCTTTGCTATTTCAGCCAGGGTCCTAGATTCCTTTATAAAGATATAAAATATTTTATATATTTTATTTTCAAAGAGAATATCAGTTTTGTGTACACACCCCCCCAAAAGCAGCAAAGTTGTTTTCCTTCACTTGAGCATACTGGCATCAGGATCATTCAACTTTCTCCCCTTCAATCAAAAAAAAAAAAAAATCAACAAAAAACCCAACAAACAAACCAACAAAGTCTCTGCCCTCTGGAAAAAAAAATGCATTCATTATCCCTTATGGTTTATTCTAAAAAGTATAGGCACAAATTTTTTGTTGCACATGAGAGGACTTAACAAATTCTCATTATGATGGTCCTGCTCTATAAAGGTTTTGAGTAGAGTTGAAACCTTGATGCTTTTCACATTTACCTACTCAAACGTTTATATTCTGCATCCCTACCTCCCCGCAGCAGGAAAAGTGTTCAAACGTTACACTACAGGACCTAAGGTGTTTTGAATTAGGCTTTTGTTTGCTCTTAAATAAGTGAAAATATCGCACTTGCTCTCAATGGATGGCCAATTCAAATTTCATCAACAAATGATGAAATTACCTTCTTTGCTCATATACTCATTCGTCTCACATTAATGGGCTTTCTGCACCCACATCCATGAGATAGTGTAAATCAAAAACTACCTTTTTTCCTCACTTCAAAAATCTTCACCAGGTTTGATACTTGCAATCTGCGACATTTAAAGGAATTCTTTATATCTTTCTTCACAGTTCAACTGGCTAGGCAAGCTGTTAAAAATACATATATTTTCCCTAAACATAATGGAAAAGGGAAGTTCACATGAAAACTCTACCTAATCTCTATTACACACAAAAATGAGTAACAAGATGTAAATACATCTTGCTTCCTCCATAAAATTGCTATTTCGGGCCGAGGAATTCTCAGGGTAAAAGATGCATAGCAGAATGCCACAAGTATTTTTAGATGACAACCAAAAAGAAAAAAAATACCTACCTAACCAATAAAATATATGGAAAAAATCCTAACCAGACACCTAAAGCACTCTAAAGCTATTCCCAGAATGATACAAATCGGTGCATTTTAAACAGAGCAATCGTGAAAAATAATCTCGCACACTAAATTACCATGTAAATACAGCACCATAAACTTTTCGGATAATTACTTTTTTTGCATACTTAACTCGAGCATGTTTAATCAAATACTGTATTTGACTGCCAATCAAATCAAATACCCTTAAAAATCTAGTCTTATCTGAGCACAAGTAATTTAAATAACCCGCGGTCCGCAACCTTTTCAATTCCGAGATTTTGTTCTGTGTTCACGATGTGCGAGCAACCGTAGTTTGAAACAATCCTGTCCATTCTTTAAAGTTAACTGTATTAAGTGCCATGGGGTGAGGCCAGGGGTTGGGAGGAGTACTCTGAATGCAGGGGTCTGGCTTGGATGTGTAGAGGCGAACAGGAGAGGGGGAAGGAAAGAGGCGGGGGGACCCAGCGCAGAGAGAAGGAAGAGAATGAGAGGCAGATGCTGCCTTTTTTTTACACCGCCGAAAAGGGGGGAAGGGGGCAGGGGGCAAGAGTCCGAAGCCTCCCGCTTTCAGAGACAGTCCCAGGGGCCCGCCCGGATCCTCACCAGGCGGATGAAGCCGAAGCCGCGGTCTCGATTGATGAAGACCTCGCTGGGCTCCCCGTAGCGCTCGAAAAGGCGCTTGAAATCCTCCTCGGTGATATCAGTAGGCAGATTCCCCACGAAGAGCCGGCAACGCTGCGTGTAGCTCTTCTCGCCAGGTTTGAGAAAGCTCTTGATATCGATGGTGAACCCAACCTCTCGCTCCTCATCTCCGCCACCTTCTTTGCTCGGCGCCAGAGCCATGGCCGCCGCCGCCGCCTCACTCTCCGCTTCTAGGCCGCGCAATCCTTTCAGGTTACCGCCGCCGCCACCCCCCACCATGCCCAGCGGTGCCGCTGGGGAGCTGTTTTCGATCCGCACTTGCTTCAAGTTCCTATTCGCGGCCATGTCCGCTCCTTCCTCGCGGGTTCTCCCTCGGGGGACGCGGAACCCTGCTCGCCAGCCGCCGCCTCCGACCCTCAACCAGTTCAAAATGGCGCCGCCGCCAACCCCTGCGAGTTGTGCCGTCCTCGCGGGAAGCCCCGCCCCAGCTCCGCTCCCCTCACGGCCCCGCCGCCGCCGCCCCCCCTCAGCTCCGCGGCCGAACTGCCCCGGGCCCCCCGAGAGCCGCCTTTCCCTCCCTAGAAACAGATGTGCGGCCGCGCTGCCGCCTTGTGTTGGAGCAGTGGTCTCCTCAGCCCGTCCCCAGGCCCCTCGCTGGGTTCTCTCCCGAGGGAAAGGCAGCCGGGTGGGATGCGTGGGATGCCCTGGGGTGTGTCTGGTCGCTGCGGGAGACAGAGGCAGGCGTGACACAAGAGACGCTGAGGCGGCGGGGACAGCTGAGGAAGTCAAAGAACCATGGAATCAATCAGATTGGAAAACACCTCCTGGGGTCGAGTTCAATCCGTGGCTGAGCACTGCCATGGTCTGGTTGACCGTGGCACGGAGTCTTTCCTTAAACACCTCCAGGGAAAGTAATTCCACCACTGCGCTGGGCAGCCCATTCCAATGTCTAATTACCCTTTCTGTGAAGAGATTTTTCGTATGTCCAACTTAAACCAGCTGGAGGCTATGTCCTCTTGTCCTGTCACCTGTTACCTGGGAGAAGAGGCTGACCCCACCAGGCTACCCCCTCCTTTCAGGCAGCTGTAGAGTGATGAGGTCTCCCCTGAGCCTCCTTTTCTCCAGACCAAACACCCCCAGCTCCCTCAGCTGCTCCTCACAGCACTTGTGCTCCAGACCCTTCCCCAGCTCCGTTCCCTTCTCTGGACACGCTCCAGCCCCTCCATGTCTTTCTTGCAGGGAGGGGCCCAGAACTGAACACAGGATTGGAGCTGTGGCCTCAGCAGTGCCCAGTACAGGGGGACGGTCACTGCCCTGCTCCTGCTGGCCACACCATTGCTGAGCCAGGCCAAGAAGGGCTGTTCAGGCACTGCTGTGCAGCATGGCAGGATCTGCGGACAGACCAGGCACAAAAAGCATTCACCGAGGCAGACAAATCATGGGAGACAAATCTGAGTGAAGTCTTGCTACACTGCTTCCAGGACAACTTCTTACAGAGCAACAGCTTTCATTATAAAGGAGGCGACTTCTGAGAGGTGTGAAGTCAAAGGTTTCCTTCCTTGGGCATGCCTTCTTGTAGCAAAGACCATGGATCTCCTGCAGCACCAGACTGGTTTGCTCCCCTGCCAGATTTGCAGCTGCTTGGCTCGGTTTGTGTGCTTCAACCAGTAGTATAACAAAGTGGTTTCTCAGAATTATTTGTTTCATTAATACAACTCTAGCATTGAAGAAATCCAGACCATCTTATGAGGTCAGTAGTTACTTCAACTAGTGTGTGGCATATACTGTTGTTTGGAAATAACAATATCATCTATAATACTCAAGAACAAATTAATTCTACAACAGGCATGAATGTGTTGCTTGGGGATTACTTTGTCTATTGTGGAATATTTTAAGTTCCTCTGTCTTGTACTTGAGGTACAACAAAGATCTGTCCCTTTCTTCCTATCTCTGAGCTTGTTCAAGGATATTGAGAAGACACAAGTTCCCGGCTTTATCAGTCTACCTCTTTCTGAAGCAGAGTAGTGGGTATAGGGCATCAAGCTAAATGCTGATTTTAACCTCTGAAATTCAGAAAATACAGATGATGGGGGAAGGATGTCTACTCATAGAAAAGACAGGAAGTCAGGCAGTGTAGGAACATGATGGAGACATTAGAGCATGGGGTTCCTAAAGCAGTATGGGATCCCTAAAGCCTAATCATCTTGACTGTCCAAAGAACAATGCTTTGAAGTATATTTAGGATTCAGTAACAAGTGTTAAGACTCAAGTGGTTAAAAAAGGAACCAACTTACACCAAATCAGTAACTTTCTAAAAGGGGTAAGCATGAAAAGGGAGTGAAATATATGTTAAAAATGAGATGACTATACACTGTAGATGTGTACTCATCAGTAGATGGGAAAAAGGAGATGCAAGGTAGTCTGGCTGTTAAGTTTTTACAATGTAATATCATAAAATTGTCATGGTTTTCAAATAGACATTTCCAAATCAGGTTAGTGGTAAAAGCTGCAACTATTTAAATTGCAACCACAATTTCCTGTGTACTATAAAAATTTCAATAGGAAGAGGAAGGAGCGTTTACAAATTCCATACTATTCTAAATTTTCTTTAACTATAGCAATATCTCAATTAAAAATTATAGTTCAATAAAATAGAGAACAAAATTCCACCTTCCAGAAACAAGGAAATATGTCTGAAAATATACATATATACTTAATGTGCTCTTGAATCCATACATTATCTTAATTAGTCAGATTCACAGTATAACCATAATGCTTACACTTGTTTTTGCTTTTTTGAGAAGGAGCTGTTTGCACATGCCACATGATCAAACATTTAAAGGCAACATGCAAAAAGAACCTGATATCTGCTGTGTTCAGTCACTTCTTCACCTTCATTTACACATCACTTCAAAATAATTACTCATTCATCAGAAAAGTCCCAGACAGTTTATCTCCCAAAATGCTCAGAGTCTTGTTATCTTGGTGACTTCTACACTGACACTAGTTAACCAATAAATATTTTGAAAGGAGAAAAAAGGGTTCCTTTAAGTTTTGGCTCATTTCACTGCACTTCATTTCATTGTGTTCTATTTATTTGATTTCACTTAATTTCAGAATTTTCTCTTTTTTTCACATAAACCTTTTAACAAGCGTGGGGCTGGAGCTGAGGTGCCCATCCCTGCACATCGCCCTAGGCTGGAAGGTGTTGAGGCAAAAACGTGGCTATGTCATGATCCTGCAATTGTTTTAATTTCATTTAGGAATACTAGGGTTTTGCAATTTCACTTCATGTCATTATATTTCCTTTCTTGTCTTTTAATTTCATTTAATTTTATTTCTGTCTTTACATGTACTGCCAGACTCTTTTTTCTTAATCTTGTAATATTTTGGATTATCATCTCACAGACGGTTTTGTATTTAATTTTACTAGCATAAATACAATATTCTGCATAGGCATGAGTATCTATAGTACAATCACTATTGCCCTAATGACCTATTAAGAACATTTATTGGCAAATAAAAGAAGAAAACAGAATTGTGAAAATCAGCAGTATTTTTCATTTTGTTTTCTACAGGGACAGGTTGCATTTGAGGTATGCTAAAGTGTATCAAGAGATTTGGCAATATTTTCAAAACAAACACCATCCAGCCATGTGCTATAAGAGACAGTCAGAAGGAACTGACCTAGTTTTTAATTTTCTGTATCATAGCATTACTTTCCTACCAAATATGAGCATCCTGCTGAATATCAGGAATGCATCAGACCTCTAAAAGGAAGCTACGAGAGCTTTTTATGCTGCAAACTTGAAAATGCTACACATCCTGGTTTGCAAATAAAAATCTGACAGTATTTGTAGTTACCTTTGCATATCTTCAGTGTGATTGCTCAAATGCCAGCATTCCAGTGGTGACAGCCGTGATAGTGCTGAAACTGACTTCTCAAAAGACAACTGTGGCTTAGTGCTCAACACATCTCTGGACTCCCAGGTTTATTTCCTTTTACTTCCTAAAATCTGCAATGAGGATTGCAGTTAGGATCAGTACTTTTAATTCGAGCTCCGGTGGTAGGTCATGACAGAATGTGTCAGGGAGCACTAGAACTGAGAGGCAAATTTGGGCATGGAAGAAGATGCTGTGTTCGAGAGGAGAAGGGAAACAAGGGAAAACACAAAATTCTGCACTGGAAAAGTAGAGAATGAGATCCTATGCAGAATTGCAAGGCCAGGGGACTGAGGCCAGCCTCTGTGCATGGCCTGACACAGGTGGGAGCTTCATCTCCTGCCATGAAAGACTGCGTTTGCCTTCGGTGTTGCTCACAGCAATAGCTGGGCAAATTAACTTTAGGCAGGTATTGGTTCTCCACTACTGAGCTTTTCTTACCAAATCTAGCTGGCTAAGAATATTAAAAACTGTCACAGCTGTGCCAGCAAGCCTGATGGGGTAAACATATGGGAGTGGAGGAAGAGGGGCTTAGTGCAATCTGCAGCAGAGATGCATTCTTTGTGATTGCCTGGGGATGACTTCATGGGGCCACGAACGGAGTATGAGAGGTTAATGGATCATGTCACTGCAGTGCCATCTGGTGACAATTACTGGAATTATCACTTTAATAGAATAATTCAAGTGGAAATAAACATGACAAACTTACAGTAACACCATCTCTCCGGTCCCAGATGGACAGCACGACTCGGATTTTCTATTTTTAAACTTGGTGGGAAAGCTGCCTTTCTAGATTGAAATGTGCATGAATCACATTTATAAAATCTGTACAACCTAACCTAAAATGGTTAGTAGTCACCTAAATTCATTCCATATTAATAGATACTTTAATGTGAATGAAGACCTGTATTTTGAAATTATCCATGTTTGACTAGTCAGTATTATTCTTTGAAACAATGTTGGTCTCAAGGAAACAAGGACTGAAAATATATGAAAATATATTGTCTATGAAGGTACTTGTGAGATGGACATACAGGCTCAACAAGCATTACCTGAGTTTTCCAAAGCTACTTTCTCCAGTAATATAATCAATGCATGCAATGCACTCCTTTTTGAATATTTTTCAGCATATTGTCTTTCTCTTTTCTGTAGAAGAGTGACAGTAAAGCACTAAGGCAAGAAGGAAGTTAGAGACTTAGGGAAGCATTTCCCAAAGGTATTCAGCCCTTAATTTATATCTAAACAATCATTTGGTATCCTGTCAGCACATCTGGCAGTAGAGCTTCACTTGGGGATTCAGTGGAATATGGTAGATGGCCAATGGTTGGGGGTTTTGTTCTGTTTTACTCCAAATCATCTCTTTTACAATCTGTAGCAAAATATATTTCTTGCATTTGATTATTTGTATCCTCTGAAATTAAGCTAATGTATTCTGTGAGTTTTTCTTACATGATTCTTATTTCATCATTATTTTTTTCTTTTGGGTTTCCTTTCAAATTGGAACATAAGGCT